ATTTTTGTTGACCTTTGTCCATGGAAGGTCCCTGCAAAATTTCATTGAAATTGGTTCAGGGGTTTTGGAGAAGAAGTCGAAAATGTAAATTGTTTACGGACGGACGACGGACGACGACGGACAAAAGGCGATCGCAATAGGTCACTTGAGACTTTGTCTCAGGTGACCTAAAAAAAACTTCTCAATAAAGATGATAACATAGCAAATAAGTCTCAAGGGGTGGGACCAGATCCCAGAGCTAATCCTCAAAGCATGAATGTGTTCACCCCTTCGTACCCATGCAGTACTGACCCAAGGACCAAGTCCCCAGGGGTGGGACCAGATCCCAGAGCTAATCCTCAAAGCATGAATGTGTTCACCTCTTTGAACCCATGCGATACTGACCCAAGGACCAAGTCCCCAGAAGCTGGGATCCCAAGTGTATTTGTCTCTTATCCCCAGAAATTGTATATATTGTTATAGAGTGGAGATTTCAACTGTTTCCAAATTATGACCAAGTGACCGGGTCCTCACTGGCTGGGCTCATTGGCCCACCTTGATAGCCCTTAGACCCATCTTAATGGAATGACTGTTTTTAAATTTGTTTCTTTATGCCTACAAACTCTATATATGGTTAGAAGATGCAGATTGTGACTGTTTCCAGGTTTTAACCCAGGGACTAAGTCCCCAATAGCCAAGTTGGGATACTAAGGCCAACCCTGGTAGAATTTTTTTGTTTTGTTTGTAATGAATATTTTTTATTTTCTTTTGGTTCACACAAAGCCAGTACAACATATTATATGATCATTTATGTTATTTCAATAGTAATTGTTAAACAATATAGTTTCTTTCTACCATTACTTTCTTTCTTTTTCCTGGTTTCAGGTAATTGCTAATTAGTTAAATAACTGTTCCAATGGGTGCCATTTTTCAGTTACTTCGTGAACTTGTTTTGATCTGTATAATTTGCAAGCTAAATATTCATTTTTTCGATGGTGTTTTAAAAATATTAAGACACCTTCTATTGACGGTATACTAGACTTACATTTACAGATGTATAAGTAAAGTCTTATTATCAAAAAGCAGAAATTTAGCAATGTGTTATTGTTTTCGCCGGAGTAACCTAAGATGGCGTCCTTTGTACTTATTTCAATTTCTATATTACATTTTACATATAGTAAGTCTGAAAAAGTTCTCCAAATAGTGCACACATGAATACATTGCCATAAAAGATGATACATATCTTCATCTTCATAGTTACAGAAAGTACATTTTTTATCATCTTTTATACCAAATTTAAACAGAAGCGTATTTGTGCATAGTATTCTGTGATAGATTTTATGCTGAAATTTTTGTAAAATGACATTATGAGTGCAACTCCTTGGTATCGAGTAAATAAATTTCCAGTTAATATCTAAATTTGTAATGTCTTGAGACCATTTTTCCATTGCTTTTTGGTTTGTAGTTAAAATTGTAGAAACTAATTTTGAATAAAATATATTGGTGGGCTTCGTCAACGTTCTTATAAGCTTTATATTTTCTTTATCTCTAGTTTTATTACTGCTCCGATTACGAATTGACCTTTTCCACGACCCTGGGATGGCTGTAATAACACCATAAAAACGGATTCTGTTCATGTCCAGAAAATTAAAGTTTTTTTGAAATTCCAAGCTAAAAACACATCTCTCCAGAAGCTGTTGAAGTTTTCAACAATTTTTGTCATATCTTTTTTAACATAAGAGAGAATGTTTAAGTTTCCATATTTTTCTAATTGATCTAACAGAAGTAGTTTCCAGGGAGATGTATTTTGAGGATCGAGTAATTTCTTTATCCAAGTAAATTTTAAAGCTTTAATAAAACTTTCTATGTCTATCATTTTCATTCCACCGTTTTCGTAACTATTTTTTAACGTAGTTTTCTTAATTTTGTCTTTTTTATCATTCCATATAAAATTAAAACAGATATGTTCTATTTGTTGAACAATATGGCACGGTTGATTTGTTAAAACTGTAAATAATTGCACAAGAATCCTGGAAGAATTTTGTATTTGTCTCTTCATGCCAAGCAATAATTAGTTAGGGATCTCAACATTTTCCATGTTGTGACCTAGGGGCAGGGGTGGTGCTAGACCCAGTACAGCATGCATAAGCTCACCTTGGTCATTTAAATTTGGACAAAGTTTAGATTGTGTCTTTGACCTGGAGCCAGCAATAAGAACCCCTCAGAGTAGCTGATTCATTATTCATCTTGCCAGGGTATACAAAGGTTTAATATGTACAATAGTGCAAAATGGGGACTAGTAAGCCAATAATAGATTTTCGGAATGTGCAGACAATTTTTATTGTAACGTGATTAAATCAAAACCATGTACGTACACTGTAGCTACAATCACTAAGGTTCCTTTAGGTTCACCAACACGTTTTTTAAGCATCAAATTATTTAAAATAATTATAAACAAGAGTACCGCGGAGCAGAACAAAACAAGCCTGTCGAATGCCACATAGTGTTATATACTTTCTTACATTGAAATAAGATCTGCATCATTCTAAGAGTGGTTCGCTGATATGCTATAAAAAATGTAGGAGAAAATCTTCGGACAAAAAATCAAATACTGAAATGAACAAAAGGCAATAAATTTTACAAAAATCGTCGAATCAAATTCTTTTAAGGGAGACACAACTTCATATCATGATTATCATGTATACAAAGTTTCAAAGAGATCGATCGAAAAATGTAGGAGGAGATCTCCGGACAAAAATCAAATACAGAAATGAACAAAGGGCAATAACTTTTGGAAAAATTGTCGAATCAAAATTCTTTTAAGAGGGACACAACTTCATATCATGATTATCATTTATACCAAGTTTCAAAGAGATCGGTCGAAAAATGTAGGAGGAGATCTCCGGACAAAAATCAAATACAGAAATGAACAAAGGGCAATAACTTTTGGAAAAATTGTCGAATCAAAATTCTTTTAAGAGGGACACAACTTCATATCATGATTATCATTTATACCAAGTTTCAAAGAGATCGGTCGAAAAATGTAGGAGGAGATCTCCGGACAAAAATCAAATACAGAAATGAACAAAGGGCAATAACTTTTGGAAAAATTGTCGAATCAAAATTCTTTTAAGAGGGACACAACTTCATATCATGATTATCATTTATACCAAGTTTCAAAGAGATCGGTCGAAAAATGTAGGAGGAGATCTCCGGACAAAAATCAAATACAGAAATGAACAAAGGGCAATAACTTTTGGAAAAATTGTCGAATCAAAATTCTTTTAAGAGGGACACAACTTCATATCATGATTATCATTTATACCAAGTTTCAAAGAGATCGGTCGAAAAACGTAGGAGGAGATCTCCGGACAAAATTCAAATACTGAAATTAACAAAAGGCAATAACTTTTGAAAATATTGTCGAATCAGAATTCTTTTAAGGGAGACACAACTAGTACTTCATATCATGATTAAATTGTATACAAAGTTTCAAATAAATCAGTCGAAAAATGTAGGAGGAGATAGCCGGACAACAAAGTTTACGCCGGACGGACGGACAACGCCATACCATAATACTACCGTAAAATTTGACAGTAGTATAATAATGATAAAAATGTTTTGAAACCAACAACAACCTGTAGAATTGGTATTCTCACCTGAACAACCTTGATAGCCAGAGATTACAGTCAGATGTGATCTTTTCTGTGAACTTTTTGAGATTTTCCTCATTAAGCATAGAAGCATAGCTTGCCAAACTGTGAGCCAAAATGGCTGCTCTCCCATGTTCATCTAAAGCTGGTAACAGAGTCCGGTGTCTACAACAGTCAATGTAACATAAATTCATATGATACCTTATCACCAATAATGATTGAAAATACAGAGAAAAGATTTAAGATGGTTTTTAACCTCACAAATAAGGACACATGATTATTTATTTATATACCTTCTTTTTTCTTCCTCAAAGCTTTCCTCTACGTCATCATCTTCCTCATCCTCAGGCTTCTGACCGTCATCATTAGCATCATCCTGATCAGCCCCTGTATCAGTATTGTTCTCTTCTTCCACAGTTGCCTCTTCCTCTTCAACAAACTCTACATCTTTCTCTCCAAACACCATTAAGTTCTCAATGGTTCTCATCACAGTCTTCATCCCCTGTCCCCTATAACACAGACATAGTGTAACAATACAGGAATACAAGTCTTTATCCTCTGTCCCCTATAACACAGATATAGTGTAACAATACAGGAATACAAGTCTTTATCCTCTGTCCCCTATAACACAGATATAGTGTAACAATACAGGAATACAAGTCTTTATCCTCTGTCCCCTATAACACAGACATAGTGTAACAATACAGGAATACAAGTCTTTATCCTCTGTCCCCTATAACACAGACATAGTGTAACAATACAGGAATACAAGTCTTTATCCTCTGTCCCCTATAACACAGATATAGTGTAACAATACAGGAATACAAGTCTTTATCCTCTGTCCCCTATAACACAGACATAGTGTAACAATACAGGAATACAAGTCTTTATCCTCCGTCCCCTATAACACAGATATAGTGTAACAATACAGGAATACAAGTTTTTATCCTCTGTCCCCTAAAACACAGACATAGTGTAACAATACAGGAATACAAGTCTTTATCCTCTATCCCCTATAACACAGATATAGTGTAACAATACAGGAATACAAGTCTTTATCCTATGTCCCCATCCCGACCCTGGTATGACCATTCCGTATACCCTGCCAAAAATCTGTGTAACTAATATTATCCTCTGTCCCCTTCCAACCACCAGAATAAACTCAGAAACCATGAAAATGCATTTGGACTGGCCACCATTTTTAACATATCTATTTTACCCCAGAGCTTTTTAGTCGAAAACAAATCAGCCATCCGGATTTAGCATATCCCATATTGGAAAACAGAGTTTGCGCAGGAAAATTAATCACATCTTTGCAGCACATGTTATATCTGTTGCTCATTGTTGTGGTTTTGTGTGGACATACTGATGTACAAGTAAGATGGAGAAGTTGAATGTGTATAGACACTCAATATGTACAAACCTTTGAGGCTGTCAAACTCAGCCATACGCATAACACCAAGTAGGGAGTTATTGCATAGAAACCGATTAACTAATCTGAAGTGAATGGGTTCATTAATTATGCATAAATAAACCTGCATCAAATTAGAAATCAAACTTACCGTAGCCTGACACTTGCCAAAATGCTTGAGCAAACTAAATCTGGTTGAAATCAAACCATTTTTGAGGAGTTATTGCATTGATGCATAGAGACAGACAGACACATCAAAAATATTGTCCATCATTTCTCTGAAAGCAGGGGATTATTACGCAGATCAGATACTAGTTTTCATTAAACCAAATTAAATAGATATATGTACCAATATGATTTTGTATTTAATATGTAATTAAATAACCATTTTAAATATTTATATATGTCATGATTTTAACCAGTGCAGGTAACAAAGTTTAATTAAATATGGCAGGTACTGAACATGTATGTGGTGGTGTAATAGGATATAGAGTTTACCCAATGAATGATGGTCCGTTTATCTAACTCTATAGTTACTTAATCTTCTCAAATCATATAAAGGTTTACCGAGCGTCTTTTATAATTTGAAAATCAATTAGTTTATTTGAATTAGATAAACATGAATATCAACCATCACAAGTTTGGGGACCTTTTTCTCTCACAAAGTTCAGATATTATATCTAGAAAACCATATTCTTCTCTTGGGGATACATCTTTACTGTTTCCGATTGGGGAAACAATTGCAATGAACAATGGAAGATGATATCACAATTGCAAGCATTGTTACTTTATGTCATAATTAGAAGATTGAATGATGAAATAACATCCAGGGTGTTTATACCCACTAGCGAGGAAACAAAAATGATTCTGCAGTGTAGAAACCTATAGCAGTTGTGGGAGGGAGAACGTCATAAAATTAGTCTCATGTTAAGTGTCTCAAAAAGACAAGAGCACATTCAGAGCAGGATTTCAGTCTCAATATTTGTTAAATTCAAAGCATACATACTCTCCTTTAAGAGCCTCAGGTATGTGTGCTGTGGCCCTGGCTTTAATCCGTGCTTTCCTTTCGTTTTCCATTTGCCTGAAAGGACAAGATTTAGTTGATGCAAAATTTCACATCTTATTTCATTTGAATTTGAGTCAAAAATCTATCAACCACTGAATCATTATAATGATAATATTTCATTTTTAATGTGTGTATTAATTATTTTACCATTTTTCATATCAGGAAAGTTATGGCAATTGCAAGGATACTGCATTTTAATCCTATTGGAAACAGATCTAATAAAAGATGTAGCACTAAACTAGTAAACACAAGTAGTAGTTGTGGTACAGTATAAAAATGTATACAAAAAAGTTAACATGATACTCCTCATTTGACTTGATTTCCAATTCATTAAAGGCTTTCCATAATATTATAAGAAACACTAACATTTCTGCATGAAAACATATGGTTGTACATTAGTTAGACTATATATATGTAGTTAGATTAGGCATGAAGCTGCATGTACAGAAATTTATCATGAAGGCAGATGCCATGACTGATGGGCAAGTCAAATATTCATCTCCATAATCAAATAAGAAGCAGTCTTTGACCACACCATTTTGTAAAGAACTAGTTATAAAGAAGTACATACTCATTTAATTTATCCAGAAGCTGTGAGTTAATGGCTACATGTTCCTCAAGTTCCTTCATCATTGGATCCATAAACATCTGTTGATAGAAAAGGTAAATCCTCCATGCACAAAATATAAAATTAAAATTAAAACCACTATTTTGGTGGGTCTGGACTTGGGTCCATCATCAGTTGGTAGAACACCCATCAAACTACAGTTCTAGATGTCAAAGGTTTGCATTTTCCCTATATTTTCATGAACTGGTACACTATCATCTATGATGAACTGTTGAAAGGTATATATATGTAATAACTGTACAGTTAAGTAAACAGATTCATAAACCTTGCTTGTAAAAATCACCTATAGTTAACAGATACATGACTATATAAAGGGAAATTTTCATGACAGTATATCTTCTCACCCTTTTCCTCCATTGATAATGAGGGTGAATTTATCATACAGTGAATATTTGAACACCAATACAAGTATAGGAATTAGATGTGGAGGACGAAATTAACACTTTCACCACTGGAGAGCAAAAGTGTTAACAGGCGAAAGTTTTCCTGAGTAAAACATATTTGTACATTTTAAACATGAACATGTACACAATGCTTACTTTGGTTGTAACAAGAACTGTAAACCACAGTAACACATTACTATACATAAAATTACACCATGGCATGGTACTGAACAACAGGTCAATTGGGGCCTCTATCACTTAATTATGTAACCGGGTTGGGTCCTTGAATAAGGTAATTCTATATATATATACTATAGTGGAGTTACAGGTGCTACAGGTGAAGTATACCTGTGGCCACTATACACATTATAAATCAGTGGTCCATAGCGACTGCTGCTGTACAACATATAGAAATGAAATAGAAATAAAACAATACAAATCATAATACTTAAAACTAACTTAAACTAGGTGATAATTAGTTCACCTGGGTACACTTACATGGATGTATAAAAGTTTTACTTTACACACAAACAATGTACAGTGTAATATATCAGATGTGTCACAATGTGTCAAGGCTGACTAATACATTTGTCAAGCTGTGACTGAGAGAGTGATTTGTATTGTATTTTTTACCTTTAATTTACAACGAAGTGACAAAATTGTGAACTTTATTTGTTGCTCAACTATGGGTCTTTTCACCTATCGATAGAGATTGTGTACACATGCAGTGTATCGAAGAGGTGACTGGTTGAGTGTAGATCTCGCCTCCTATCCCATATAATTTGGGTCAGTAGTAGGTTATTCAGATGACTTACTGGTGTTCCCCGACCTCGATCTCCCCCACCATCAGCACCCTAATGAGACCCTGCATTGACATATAAAGAACTCAGGCGCGTAGCTGCCACGTCAGCAAATAAGCAGTTGCATGCACATCAAAAATTCAAATATACTATTATATTTTATTTATTTATTCATTTATTTTGTAGTTCGGAAAAATGATTAAATGATGTGTGGTTCAATTGAAAAATATATTAAATTTAACTGTATAACCGACAGCTGACAATCAGTAGGTATCCGGAAGTTCCAACCTAAAGGTACCTGGTGCCGATTATATTATTAGTACTTTTAAAGTTGTCAACATCAGAAACATGGCTGCAAAGCCAACGAAAAACCTGCATCATCTTCGAAGAACAAGTTGATACATGACATCTTCCAAACAGCTGTAGCTAGGTTCACATGAAACAACATCCTCTTGCGACATTAACTTAGGCATTGACAAGTCTAAAACGGCTATTAGTATTAGGGCCTAGTAATGCCGGACCGACCGTCGAACACAATTAGTTCTGATCAGTCTGACTGTTGTTACCCCTGATATCGGGAATACAAGCGAGGCCGATATTCGTCTTACTATTGTGTAAAGTGAAGGTGGATATCCATATCCTGTCAAAAAGATGAAAAAAACTGACGAGTTCAAATTCCATACACAGCAACATTTTAACAAGCGGTTGTAATGAAATACAACTAAGGGAGGCGGGTTGTTTTTCCGGAATGGATGTATTTTTGTGTGTTTTTTTTTAACCAATTAAAGGTCTTCCGAATAACAATTGTAGATTGATTTGTTACTAGCATTATTGTTATAGGTTTTAGGGCGGATACATGCGCGTATAAGATCCATCTGAGTTTTACATTCACTTCGCCTGCAAATGTAATATGAAAAAGGCAAAGCCTCCAAAGTTAGAAAAAAGCCACGTACATGTAGCTTTTGCTAATTTGTGACATTATATAGGCCTTCATTTGTCCCTGTCATGAACTGATAAAGTATGTTTTTAAGAGTAGTCCTAGACCTATCTTCAGTAGAGCTACTGGATATAAATGTATACATATATCTAAACATATAGGAGCTACCGTCATCTTATGTTCTGAGAAATTTTGATGATATAAAAAGGGTTTGGGAGACACAGCAGCAAAAAATCTGAAATTAATCTGTTCATATTGGCTCCGACATTTTAAATATCTAGTTGATTTAAATTCATCAGGAAAGATATTTTCGGGTAATTCCAACAATCGACACATTTTTGTCGGAGAAAAAACGGAGAGCTGTCTTTCTGAAATACATTTGAATAATAAAGTGAATGAATCAACCAAAAAATGTTTTTTGGAAAATAAATTAAAACACTCAAATATGTATCTAAAAAACCTCCAGATGGCACGACTGAGCTTCTAGATCTAAAAAAAATCGGGGGGGGGGGGGGGGGGGGGGGGCATGCCCCCGTACCCCCCTAGAATGGCTACACGCCTTTGGCGCTCACATTCGCACCTTTGGTGCGTCTTTCTGCATGCACATCCAAAACAAGCCCAGCTACGCGCCTGGAACTGAAGTAATAAACATTCAATTATATATCAAATTTCCATCTCTGAGTTCAGATGCGATGTTTAATTTGTTATCTAAATTATGACTTATCAGCGGGCTGAAATTTAAGGTGACTTATAGCCTTTTATGGAAACTTCCTGGACAGATTAAGTTAGAGAACTTTTTTATGCCAAATTATGGTACTTCACTGTTACTATGCCATACATATTAATTACTGAATTATCTGAAATGTTTAACTCAATCTTAACCCTCTATCCCTCATCTTTTCCATGTAAAATACACAATATTTTAACTTTCCCCTCCCCCTAGCTCCAGAGACGTATAACACGTCTGTCTTAGGTCTACAGAAGTAAGCAGCAAACGCTACAACAAATGACAGGTTACATGTTAGCTCATGTCAAAGTACCTGAAAGACTTGTTGATCATGTCCTCCATCTATATGATTTGCAGGATTGAACGGAGAAGCTGTGGAAATGACCGGCTTCTCTTCTTCTGCTTCTCTTGACTGTCGGTCCATCTCCATGGCAGAATTTTCAATTTCTGGAGAAGTGTGTACGTTGTTACTTACATTAGCAGACGCCATGTTTGTCGTTACACGCTGGCATACATAATAGTCGCAAAACCTTTCAATTTTTAATAGGAATACATAATTTTAAAAACATACAATTTAAGGTTGTTTGATAACAAATGATGTTAAAAATATGTATATATATATTATTGAAATTTGCGATGAAATGTTTCAACAATCTTGGCGACACGTTGACAATTACGACACCACAGGCAGTGACAGACCCGTCCGTACTGTATGGCAAGGAGATAAAATACTTAACGGTTACCTAAACATGCATGGTAAATATCGTAGAATAGTTTTCTGTATGCATATACAAACTAAAATTTTCCATTGTTGAAAGATGCTAACGTGAAAACGTTACTGACATAATATTAGCTTTTGTGCTAGAATTTTCATCAGAGTTATTTCCCTTCCAGCAGAAAACCTCTAGGCCTACTGTATATGTGATCATGAGTCAGGTGTTAATTTAATCGGCGTGAAATCAGATCATTTCTATTTATATTGCTATCTCTAAATGTAACAATTATGTTTCATGGTGTCAGTTGATTTCACAATGAAATTCGTGTATATTTATCCGATGCATTAATTGTTGTGTATGATGCCAATTACTGATTATATTTTCGTTCAAAAACTTAAAATACTACAGTAGTCCAAGTTAACTAAGTGTTATTGTATTTCTTTTTACAGATAAAAATGTAAACATGACGTCATCAGAAACTGTGTAAGATTTTCAAAACATAAAAGCATGGATCCTCCGGAGCCTGTAAACCTCAACAGGGCCATCCTGCTCTGTAATCTGTACAACTTCTTTTTCGCAGCTAGTAAAGCATGTTTGTTTCCATTTTTCTCCCTGTACTTGAGACTCTTGGGCCTGACAGCAACCCAGACTGGAGTTATCATAAGCCTTAAAACCCTGGTGGCATTCATATTTGCACCACTGTGGACTAAGTGTGCTGTTCAGTGCCGCAAAAGGAGACTTGTGTTTACATTTTCCATTTTTATGATGGCAGTCACATACTTATCATTAACATTAGTTCCCAACCAGAATCATGCAGCATTGTCCCAATGTGTACCCGCATACAGACAAACTTCTCAAAACCAATCTAAGTTTCAAAGCACTGCTGAAATACTTACCATTTTAAATCATAATGAGAGTCGTGTGTCTCCACAAGAGGTTACACAGACAGACCACAATAACACCAGTGATGAACACCTGAACAATAAAAGTAGTGTAACCCCAACTTCCATTCAGATATCTTCCCAGAAGCCAACTGAAACACTCACAGATGATCTGGAAGACAAAAAAATTGAAATATCAAAAGAAATCCTCATGTATTTAGGACTCAAACAGGAGGAAGTGCAACAGATGAACAAACAAGATATTTATGAAGTATTCAATGAAATGATGACTACAGAAGATATGCGGGGTCTGGTTGAGAATAAGCTTGATGCAGAGACTGTGAAATTTGTGTGGAAAGTGATAGATGAAAGTAGGCCTAGGGGCAAGGCTGACAAATCATCAGATTCAAAAGTTCGTAGGAAGCGAGACATCAACATTACATCACTTCTCGCCAGCTTGAAAACAGGTTTGCATGATTTGAGACAGCGTGTAAAGGACAGCAGTCATGATTACACTTTTGTGGTTGTCACCATTATCCTCTTGATAGGGGAGCTATTTGCATGCCCCGTAGAAAAGCTAGCTGATGATTTCTGGTTTGACTATTTGGAGAAAATAGATGAACTTGAAAAATATGGAAAACATCGTATATGGTGTTCTCTGGCCTACATGTCCTTTCCACTGATTGTTACTCTGGTAGTGAGTAAAACCGACTGTCTTTTTGGCATGAATATGCCTCCATTCATGCTGCATTTCTATGTATTTGGATCTTTGCTGGGATTGACATTTTTACTTGGCTTCTTCTTTCCAATATCAGCGGATGCAAAGGCAAAGTACAAGAGCAAGCTACGGCGTGGGTTGGGTACCACCTGTTGCAAATGTGTTGGTCTGCTGTACGTCTTCACCCTACTGTTGGTTGGCATGATCTATGCAGCATACTACAATTTTCTCTTCTGGATGATCCAGGACCTTAATGGTCCGGAGTCTGTGATGGGATTATGCATCACTATTTCTACTCTGGTCGAGATTCCAATGCTTTTTTTCAGCAAAGAGATAATCCAGCGTCTTGGCCATGGTGGGGTTGCAAGCTTGTCATTGTTGATGTTATCAGGACGCACGCTGTACTATTCCTTCCTCTGGACACCCTGGGCTGTGCTTCCTGCAGAAATGCTTCATGCCCTAACACATACTGCTCTGTGGTATGCAGTGTTCAACAACCCATCATTCAACATTAATCCTATGGCAGACAGAAGCATTCGCTCTATTCTATCATCAATATACTTTGGACTTGGGTTTGCATCAGGAAGTATTGCATCAGGTCTTATCTATGACTCATATGGGTCTGAAATTCTCTATATAGTCTGTTCAGTGGCAGCAATTATATGGTGTCCTGTGTTTTTCGTATTGCAAAAATGTTGTCAGCCACCGGCTGAGTCTGAGATAAAGTATACTCGGCTACTGCAATCAGAGGACTTGTCAGATGATGAGATCCCTGATGACTGGCTAGAAAAGGCTCTCAAAGATAGGTGAATAAGCACTAGTTTTATGTGGAGAGCTTTTAATCAGACAGCTGGATACATATACACTGCGTATGGTATTTTTGGATAACCTTTCTATAATGCTTACAACTGGGTGTATACAATTTTGTGGCAGTTTATTGGCCTTGACAAGCTATTTTTTTTACAAACTTTAATTTCATTCAATATTCTTTTCTAAAGTTTAAAAAAAAAATGAGATAATATATTTTACCAATTTTAGGCTATATCATTATACTAGTAGGTAATACTTTCCTTAGGTTTTTTTATCAAAGACTATAAAAACCTACACAAAAATGTTGTGCTGTACAGTACAAGGGTAATAAAATGCCAAAAGTGAATAGACCAAAGTCGATATCTATCGATATATTTTTGTGTATTTTGAACTGTTCATGTCTTTCCTGAAAAAATATCTCTGAATTTATTATGTCAATGTACTAAGTTTTTTACATTACAACTTATACCTCTGACTGATATGAGGAGATGCACCTTTTTTTTATTATTATTATTACAAAATTGAATTTCTCTAAATAGATGTACATGTTCCTGCTTAAATTTTGTGAGAGTTAACTTTCAGGAAATCAAATCAATATGAATATGATATGAAGCTACAACTTTAATTTATATCATGTAATTAAAACTGTAATGTAATGATTAGCATAATGTAGATAACAGGTCATTTTTACAGATCTCTGAAGTAGTTCTGGTGTAAAGGCCTATACAGACTATAACACCTTCATGTCTGGAGGTTGTCCACTGATATAGACATACTGAATTTAAATAAAAAGGACAGGAGCATAATTTCTGATTGTTGAAACATAAACATGTACAGCTTATAAGGTTAAGGCTGAGTTAAATGTTCCTTCTCGCATTATTTGCTTTTATTATATTGACAATTTATATGCAATTGATTTTGATTGCACAACTTGAAATCCATTTACACTGTATCATTGACTTTTACAATTCAAGAAATCCATATTTCAAAGACACATATTATTCTTTATTTGTGAATATATAATGAGACATCTCATGCTATTGTTGTTTGTCGATAAGGCCTACTCCTTAACCTCTTGGTATTAGAATAATAATGATTTTGTCCAGAAAATCTATATACATAACTTCATATATATGGTTGGACATATTTCAACTATGACTAAACCTTTATTTATTTACGAAGTTAGTTTTAAGCCCACTATCATCAGATGTGGGCTATTCAAATCACCCTGTGTCCATGGTCTGTCTGTCCGTCTGTACACAATGTTTGTTAGCGCTATTTCTAAGAAAGTTCTGGAGGGATCTTTCTCAAATTTCACATGAATATTCCCCATGATCCCTTGTTATGCATACTGTTTTTTCGGACTGATCACAAAACCAAGTTCCTAGTTCCGCATTTTGAGTTTTGGGGATGATTGGAAAACCAAGATGGCTGGCAGGTGGTCGTATTGAATTTGGGAGTAACAGTTTTTTAGCCCTATTTAGGCTATTGCTCAAAACGAATTGGAAGGATCTTCCTCAAATTTCACATAAGCGTTCCTCTTGTTCTTAGTTATGCATATTAAATCATATTGGCCGCCCATCTTGTTACAGTTTAAGTTTGTTATCGCTATTTCTCAGAATTTACTAGAGGAATTTTTCTCAAACTTGATATGTAGGTTCCCCTTGGTCATGAGTTGTGCATGTTAACTTTTGAGGTTGATCAAAAAGATTGATTAAGAGTAAAGAAGAGAAAAGATCGAACTGACAAAGAACTTATTAAGATGGTACAATGGTGGGCACAAAGATCCCTCTCGGATCTCTTGTTGAAGGTTATGTTTAAGACCCAGCAATAGATTCAAGCTGATTTCAAGGGGAAACTCCAAAATGATCTCTGAGTGATAATGAAGCATGGGTTAAAATAGCTGTCCAAAATTGAATTTCATCTTTAACTCCGGAAACTATTTAGATATAGATATTGTTATGTTTATCCATACGTAATTGCCAAAATCTTACAAGCAAATGTAGGTGTTTGCCATTCAAGGCAGGGCTTAAGTTATTGGGTGAACAGTTAAATTGGGAAAAAAAATGAAAATTTTCATTGAAAGATGTATGTTCTTAGCGCCATGTAACTTTTTTCCTGTGGCTTGTTGCAATTTGATATAGTGATATCAACTTGTCACATTGTTTTTGTATGTTTTGGTTATGGAAAAGCCAGATGTTTTAAAATTTGCATAATTTTATGGCTGGTCATCTTCTATACTGGTATGATAAATATGTATATTTTCCACTTGTGTATATAAATGCACACATGTTTGCTATTATTAATGCTTTATAATTTGTTCAGAAATACCTATATATTTTGTTTTTCGATGGAAGGTATATAGAATATGTGTCCTTATGTACAAGGATACATTGTGTCAGAATCAGTAAATGAGGATATTTACCAGCACTCATGCTTTAAAAACATCTAACAGAATATGTAAAACATTTTAAAATATTTTATGATAATGTTTGAATTATGCATTCCATTCTAATTACAAAATGCAATGTTACTACTAACCAGATATAGGAACCAGGTAAGTTTTGTTAAAAGGTCTTTTGAATGGGGAGCGGAGACTGTCATATAATGCATGATTTTTTTTGAGTAAACAAGCACTGTGCCTTCACTTTCACCAATTTTATATCATAGACATTGAAGTAAATGTCGTAGATGTTGTGAGATATATTTGTACAATTTTCAGTGATTATATTTACACTTGGTTATCTCTGGTTGTGTCAGAATTATTGATAAGCATATTTTTCTCATCGACTGTGATGCACGTGGTTGTGAATAAGCGTTAAACACTCGTTATTGTAAGATGAACTACACACATACATTTCACTCCAGATCTGCTTACTTTACGATACATGCTTTCTGTTATATTGTAAAATGATATTTGATACATGTAAAATGTCCCTATGATTTGCTAACATATGAAAATCAACCGATCACACTAACAAAACTAATAAAAATGGCATTCCTCAATTACATAGTAGTTTATGGTAGAAGAAAACCAACAGGCCTAAAATACAATCGATTATTTGCCTTAATCTGACCAACCCAGAAAAATGCCCCTATGCAAAAAAAAAATCAATTGAAATTACATATTTTTAATTTTCTTATTCCTTTTATTCTTGAAATTAAGTGATGCATTTTTTTTTAAATTTTACATCTGGCAGTGTACATTATCAACCTCTAAGCCAGTCAATTTCACTGTTGTGCTTTGACGTGATTTTTTTATGTACATCAGAGGATCAAACTAGTCACCCTGAATCCTTCAATTTTGTTGTGACATGTACGTATTCCAGGAGTGCAGAGAAAATAAGTGGGTATAACCACTGGAATATCGAGAATGCCTATTTATCTACCCAAACATTTTATTCCGGAGTCAGGTTGAGGCAAGTAAACATTTTATTGATACTATTTCCTGTTGGTGTGAATTGAGAATGACTTAATACAATGAGTTGGGGATGTATGGCAGTCTTGTTACATTTGATACATTTCAGAAACCTGTCATTCCAGTTTTAAGCTGTACCAGGCTGTTATAGATGTTTATCTGTACCAGGCTGTTATAGAGGTTTATCTGTACCAGGCTGTTATAGATGTTTATCTGGACCAGGCTGTTATAGATGTTTAGCTGTACCAGGTTGTTATAGATGTTTAGCTGTCCCAGGCTGTTATAGATGTTTAGCTGTACCAGGTTGTTATAGATGTTTATCTGTACCAGGCTTTTATAGATGTTTAGCTGTACCAGGCTGTTATAGATTTTTAGCTGTACCAGGCAATGTTATATATATAGATGTTTAGCTGTACCAGACTGTTATAGATGTCTAGCTGTACCAGGCTGTTATAGATGTTTAGCTGTACCCGGCTGTTATAGATGTTTAGCTGTACCAGGCTGTTGTAGATGTTTAGCTGTACCAGGCTGTTATAGATGTTTATCTGTACCGGGCTGTTATAGATGTTTATCTGTACCAGGCTGGTATAGATGTTTAGCTGTACCAGGCTGTTATAGATTTTTAGCTGTACCAGGCAATGTTATATATATAGAGGTTTAGCTGTACCAGTCTGTTATAGATGTTTAGCTGTACCAGGCTGTTATAGATGTTTAGCTGTACCAGGCTGTTATAGATGTTTAGATCAGGATACACCTAAGCTTTCACATCATACATGCAATTGATAAATGCACTGAAGCAGATTACAAACTGTGAATCAACAGGAAAGACTTTGTAAATTGTAACTTTTAGTCCATGGTTCTCCTAAGCGGCAGCACTTGCGTGAATCAATTATAACTTTTAGTCCATGGTTCTCCTAGCGGCAGCACTTGAGTGAATAAATTGAGTGCAATGATAGCTTGTTAACTGCAAAATCATCCTGAGTGCAAAGCTAGGTTGATGTTAATTACATCATTTATCTTTCCTATATGGTTTCACTTACCTTTCAAGTATTGTTTCATTCACAAAAAGCCTTTCACTTATCATATATTGTAAAAGTAGTCCTAAAACAGTATGAATTCTAATTTTACAAAATCAATAACATTGATTTTTTTCAAGGTTTTTAAATTAATTGCAAGCATAGTGTACATTGTACTTAATATTTTAAGATGTTTAGCAGTATAACGTTATTTGTCATATATAATTGTCGTGCCGATTTTAAGCATTATACTTCCATTCATATTTTCTTCCATTTGCCACAAAGGTCTTCATATAAAATACGTCATAGAACAGATGGTAGTGTTTATTCAATAGCATTGAAGGACACAATTGTTATTTTTGTGTTTTACTGTGATCAGAAAATCACAATTGTCTGTTACGCTGATGGGTGAAAAAAGATTCCAATTTACAGAACAATTGATTTAGTATTGATGCCTATATCCTCATTGTTTGTGAGGATGTTCAATTGTAACGCAGTCCTAAGTACTGACTTATAGCTATGAAGAACCACATCCCCACCTACTACATAAACAATGAAGAACTACATTAGTGTATAAATATACATTTAAGTACTGTCAATGAAGAACTACATCAGTGTATAAATACACATTTAAGTACTGCCAATGAAGAACCATATCACTACCTTTATTATAAGCAGTTCTATGATCCATTGGTAGATTATACCTGTGTATATATCGCATTTTGTCAGATTCAGCATTTCAAGATATTGGAGTGGTCAGAAATATTTTCTACATATTCAAAGTTGGCATATGACAAAAGAAACCTTAGCTAACTGACTTTTGTAAATCTTTACTAAAATTGGCTTGGTGCTACACCTAGCTATAATGTTTGTTATGTGTATCATATACCGTGCAATTTCACTATCTGCATATTTAATGTAAATTAAAGTTTTAATGTAAATGTAAAAATGTTCAAGAGATCAATGAAATTATGTATGAATGACCACAAAAAAATGATTGTTTTTACTGAAACTCAAAAACGTTGAAACTAGGGAAGAATATGGCAAAGTAAACGCCAGTGTGTTACTGATAACAATGGATTGTTCCTTACTGGTTCATGTGTTAAAGGGTTGTACTCCGTCATTGTTATAAGTTGAGAGTCCAAGTAATTATAAAGGGCCTATCTAGTTGTGGTTATTAGGCGAGATGCCAATACTGATGTATTTGTATGTATATATAAATGGTTGTGACTCCAGTCATTCCACACGCCACTTTTTACAAATAATCTATGTATTATAACGCTTGACGAATAGTTAAAACTTTTCACGAGTCGCATGTTAACAAAGACTGTTAACAATTTTTTAATTCTCAAAATTAACGCATGGGAAGGAAATGTTCTTACTAACATATTTAGTATATATTCCAACTCAAAGTTTGAATTCCTGAAAACAAGTGATGTATTAAATATTTGTATTTTAAAGTTTAAGCCTTATCAAATTTTGTAACAAGTAAATGAAGAGTGCATTTTCATAATCTAAATATCTTCAAAACATATTATATATCATGCATGATGTATGTTGTAACTATTGTATTTCATTTCAATTGTTTTTATTTATATCATGTGATATTGATGCTATTGAATGCATAATTGTTCTGAAAAGACATTTTCTTCTAGTGGAAACCCTGTGTAAAACAGCAAAATTCAATGCTTGTCCTAGTTGGTCAATATTTTATCTAATTAAGAAGATTGGATTGTCACAGGTTTCTAATTTACTAATCTCTGATTGGGAAATGTAATTTTGATACATTTACTTCATTCAATTGTGCTATATACAAAAAACAATCTCTAAACAATTGAAGAAAATACTAACATCATAAAAACGATTTTATTATTAAATATCAGTTTGCCCATTATTAAAATTTATCATTTCAGATTTGGAATGAAAGGACATATAATTGATATGTTAAGCATTTTGTTATGATTCAATGGAAATGGACGTTTTCCTTGCTGTTAGGAGTGGACAGGAGGTGTTCAAGTTAGCTTTGGTTTCAATCCTTGTCGGTGAATACTTTGCATACTAGCACATAAATTACTGACTTAATTTAGAATGGATTCTGATCATTTTAGAAATGGGAACTACTTGTATAAGAAGTTAGAAAATAAAATATATATATTCCTTTTTCCCTCATCCTTAGTATGGTGAGTCACACACGAATCTGCTCGACATATTTTACGTTACATGATAAATTGTCTTCCCTTAATTTAATCAAAGTGGACGAGATGGGATCGTGTTCTATCTAGAGTAATATTCTCATGTGCACGTAGCTTTAAGTCTTTTTACTATGTACAGAGGCTGGGAAACTGGCATCGGTTTAGCAATACAATACAAGCATAATGCTGTCTTTAGCAATTACAATGTACTTGTGTTTGAGTTCATGTCTGTGAATGTTAATGATTATCCTGTTTTAGTTGTTACATTTTGTAACACATTTTCTTAAGCTTTGCTCACTTCACAATTCTGTGTTTCGTTAAGAAATCTTTTTATTCCCTCTGGGTTATGGTTATATTACATAGTTTATTATATGTTGATATTAAAAGAATGAAAAAAAACCAAGTTGTGTTATAGTTTTACCTCTTCATCCTTTGTCCATCCATTCATCAATTCTGTTCAGGTGACTTCTATTTCCCAAGATTCGACTTGAGCCATTCTTAGGTGATTGTACAAATGGAAGGTGGTATAAAAAATGACATGGGTGATTAAGCAATACTGCTTTTAACAACTTCTTTGGAACTCAAAGATGGAAATCAATCGGATTTGGTTAGAAGTAATCCAAAAGAAACAGGGATTCAAATTTTAACACACAGAGGGCAGAGCTATGGAGACAAAGGAGTTATTCTACAATACTGCTTGAAGTATTTTTTCTTGAACTTTGTGATTGATTTTAACCATCTTGGGTTGGAAGCATTCTTTGATGGTAGGAATTCAAAATTAAAAAGACAATCGACCCACCACAGTGCACAAAAAGAGATATTTTGAACACATTGCTTTCAGCAATTTTCCAGAGAAACTGATGAATATCCACCAAATGTTTTGCTTGAAAGCTGATAACCCTACGATTTAGAAATGTACACCCACAATGGTGATGACTCCAGGGAGCTGAGAAATGGGGCCGAGAAGAGATGCTATATTGATTTAAACACTTTCTCCAGAGGAACTTAGTGATGAATATCTACTGTATTTGGTTGGACACATCCTCAAGAGATGGAGATTAAAAATCGTACAAATCGAGTGGCTTTGCCTATTTTAGGTTATAAGTTGAAAATGGTTGAGATCCCCGCCCTTAAATCAAATACGCTGTGGATGAAAAGGTCAGATAGGCTACTGTGATCTACCTCTGGATACGGGTTTGGTACCTGGGTCATGTCATAGAAACGCTAGAAGTTATTGACACCCCCAACTCGTATAACAATATAAACAATGCCAATGGCTGTGAATGAAATGTCAAAACAGAAATGCTTTTAGAAGGATTTGTCCCTGGTTATAACATAGAAACGGTTACGATCCTAACCCTATTGCTGGGTATGAAGAGACGTTTAAAATAGCTATCGTTGTTGGTCAAATACCTGGTGATTATTCCATGGATTAACAATTTGAGAGCTTTCTTTTCAAAGAAAGGCGAACAGTGATATTACTATAAGGTTTGAAGTTGTTCTGGAGCATTTTTTTACTGTGAAAAGTGCAACAAAGGCCATGATAAAAAAAAAAACACTGAGAAAGATATTTTAAAAAGAGTTGAGTTCCTGATTGACTTTGTTGAGTCCGATGGCAAGATTATTTTTTTTTATTGATGAGATAATCAGGACTGGTAACCAAAACGTTCGATTTCACATTCAGATACGCCCACCCAACTAGATAAACCAGTTACTTGCCATGCAGATCATTGATTGCGGTTTGGGTATCATTATACATGTTGTAACATACTGTAATCAGCGGCGGACCAATCGCGTGTGTTTAAGTGTGTAGGCGGGGTAGGGGTTTAAACGGAGGAAATACATGTTTTTGAAGAACTTCCCAGGCTTTGGAGGGATGATGGGGTCCTCGGGCACAGAATCAAAAGAAAATTAAACTCCACCAATCCATAAGTGAGTAAATTCACAATAATTAGTGTTTTCTTTATTAATTCTGTTATATCAATAAGGACAAATACAGAGAAAAGTCGTCTAGCTATGCTGCAAACGTTTGAACGAAATGCTTAAAGACGATATCAAATAGGGATAAACAACTCTGATAAGGAAAACAATTGTGCCAAAGTTGTAGCTGTTTGAGGAATCATACCGTTCTCTTAATCAGAACTCGGTTTGTGATATATTTACAACTTCGATATGGTTAATATGCTGTTTACATAACAAAATCAAACATAACACGGTTGTTTGAATCAAGTGTTTATTCAGTGCTGTACACACAAGTAACTGCCGGGTCCTTGGTAAACCATGCCCCTCTTGCTGGCAACAATAGCATCAGGACTTAAGATAGAGGGTCCAGACGACACGAACTGACAGGACAGCCCTGGGCTACATTCGCAGTGGCCATTAATCTTACCAAACACGCTGCAAGTCTCGTTCACAAGCTTGTAGCGTTCACAGTAACCTGGCAACAAAATATTTCAGAATTAAAACATTTGTACAAATGAACAATTTTAAAATACAAACATAAAACCTTGCGGCTTCCAAGGGTAGATCCTTGCACAACCTAATAGGTATGGAGGTTTTTTTAACAAACCCTTATCTTACCCTTGACATACAGAACCACAGACGTCTGGATTTTTTTTAAAAAAAATTCCTATTCCTATCCGACTCTTTTATTTTCTCCAATACATTCTTCTCGGGTTTCCCTTATGACCACTGTTTGACCATTGCCCTTCTTAGTAAACGTTCCCTATCCAACCCTTGATTTGCTTCAAAACATTGGACCTTTGTTTCTCATTCAATTATGACCCCTGTCTAATCCTTGGCTTACACAACCACATCGGTGTGATTGTTGATGTGGTTGATATATATTTGAATACGTGATTGTGAAAAGTTGCCAAGAATAGCTACATTTCTAAAACAGGATATAATTGTGGTTCCCGAGATCCGATGAAACCATTGAACTCACCTCCCTGGTGCATCATCATCAGATCCTGTGGCAGTGACATCTGGGCGAGCTGCCTTTTACGACTCATGATCATGGGTCCTTCATGGTAGTAACAACACTCTCCTTTCCCGCATTCGGTATCTCCGGTACAGCTCGTCTGGAATAATAGAATGCACTATACTCACAACAAACTATTATTCTATAAATGCCACTCGATTGATAAACATATTTGTTATGGCAGCATTGTCATGGTTTTCACACTTCGAATCGCTTGAGTAGTCTCTATTAGACTGCTGTTCATAAAACGCTGATACCGACATACTGGTTGAGTTTATGTGGTATTCCAACTATGAAAGATTTAGAGGTATTACCGAACATTGGCGACAAGACAGTTTGCCTATGATTGAGTTAAGGTCATTATTAAAAACAAGGTTATTCTTTCACTCGCATATATTGCTGTGCTTAATGGAACCTTACTCTTGTATTTAAGTCCAGTTGTAATTGGACCAGATTCGGATTTTTCGTAGGTTTGCAGACTGATTTGTGAGGTAGATAACGTTGCTATTGGAATAGGATGTTACTGAATGAATTTGTTCACCTCACCAATATTGTCCAGTGCTTCACTAAGCAGGTCTTGTATCTATTCGTCTTAATTTGTCATAACTTATTCTTCCATTGACGATTCTTTGATCTTTTCTCCATAGGTCGATTAGGTTGTGATATGCAAGTGGGTAGGGAATATCAGCTATACCTATTAGTTCCAACATTGTGATGTCTCTAGATTCTTCTGTTACATTGTTTTTACATACTGGTGAAGGGAATGGCAACCCCGCGCCCTTCATGTAGTTCCGTTCGTGGCATCCTCCTTTTCCTAGATTACAAATCTGATTGCAAATAGCACACCCACTCCCAGTTTTGCCGATAAGTTTCAATTTGTAGTTGCGTATACCATCTAAAGATACATTCCTTTATAAATGCTCTTAATCTACCAACCGGCCCAAAGGTATCCACCATTATCAGTGTTATCATTTAGTAGTATCTAAGTGATTATTGCTTTTGTCTGATTCTTTAGACTTTACATATTTTACATCATTTATCAAACACGTTAAGACACCCCACGTGCTAACATCCGGGCCAACAAGAGTGATTCAAATAGAAGTTGAAATAACTTGTTTCATAATTGTTGTAAAATAAAGTATGTATTTAAAAAAAAAAAAAAAAAAGCGTTATTCCAACTTGTGTTCATCATAAATGTCAGTCTGAACTTAATTGTCATGATTAAGATTTAAACATATAAAAAGGTTGAAATGGTCATTGTTATGTTCGGTGAATAAAATGATTAAAAAAAATACAAGTACAAAATTGCTTCCTCCAGGTGACTCTCGAATGGACGACACGTGTTTGTTTGATCCTTGCTGGTGGCTATCTTACAACCTGGATCGTATTTATCGGCATGGCCCGCTATCCCCAAATCCCCGTGCTGTAATTCAGTCTGCACGGCTAACATAAATATATATTCAGACATTGATTTTATTTGTTTTTATTTTGTTCCCATAACGTGTCCTAAATCGCCATATGGTCCAGGGAAAACGTTAACCCTAAATGTCAATGATAAACGTCTGGTTGAGCTGAAAACCCAATTAAGACTGTTACAATACTCCATTGAAAAATAGTCGACGAAACTTAAAAAGACAAAACTGGCGAACTGAATAGAAACAGCATTGCTACAGCCGAGGTAACAAGAAAATATATAAACATTATTTTTTTCATTTCATCAGATTTTATTGACTTTATATATGTCAATTGGATTGGAAATCAGGCTAGGCCCATTTAAGTCCTTTCCAAACTTATTTACAAACATTACATATATTCTGTCATAACAATCCAATTAAACAGTGCAGGGGAGATAACTCCAATTTAGCTTGTGAAATGATCATTTTACAACTTTTATTCAATCATTTTCTGTTTATGTTTTAGATATTAACAATTAAATAAATCATGTATATTTATTGACAACCCATCCTACATAAAATTTAAGGGGTACAGGCCCAAAAGTCCCTGTGTATAAACACATTGGCCATCCACCCACTGGATATATAGGATAAGTTACAAGAAATAAACGTTTTGTAAAATTTCAGAATATGATATGGATTCATATAGGAAAATGTAGTTATTATTATATATTATTGGAGTTGATTCTCTTAAAATTTATTTAACAAAGCACTATAGAATATTCATTTAACTATGAAATTGTTAGAACAGGTTATAGAATAGTACACTCATAAATTCCATCCAGTCCAGTCGAATTCCAGAGATGTTGTGAAGATAGTTATACACCAGTATCAATACTTATTAGCAGAGTGATCATGACACTATAACTAATAGCATCACTTTCAATGTAAAGTTTTTCTGCGAGTGAGATTACTTATCAAGCCTATTAGTTTGAAAAATGTAGTCAGATATACTTTGTAAAATGGATATGTTAATATCAGCGCAGCATGTTAAGCATCCCTTTAATAGAGTTTTTAGATTAAAATGATCATGATTACCAGTTATACCAAATTGAGATTTTTTATTACTAATTGCATTCTAAGGTTGTTATAGAGTGAGCATTCAAATATAAAATGAAATTCATTTTCATTTTATATCCACATCTACATGCTGGTGTGTCATTCAGATGATCCATATATACGTCACTATTTAGGTTGCTAGCATGATTTCTCAGCTGAAAAATTATGATATAAACATTATTTATTCCATTTGAATCAACTCATTATACGTAAACAAGAGTTTAAGTCGAACATTACACAACCTTAATGAAATACTGAAAGAATGTGAACAAACCAAGGACATATTTGCTAAGACAACCGAAAAATTTGAAACGGGTCAATTCACTAGGAATGCAATCCGTCCGAGTGAAAAGAATTACACTGTGGTACATGCGAATTCTTCAAGGGAGGAATCAGTATATATGATATGATACGTTGGATATATGCTGTATTTTCTATTTAACGACAGTAACAAAGAGCTTCGATAGCTTGTCTGCTTCAGTTATTTTTGTATACGCTTTTTATTCTTCGATTTCAGATTTATAGTTTTCAATTGCATAGTTTGAAATAAATATGTTTGAATAAAAATGTTTTTTTGTTGTGAATTCTGACCATTTCCCTTTCATTATTGTGCATGGTTTAATATTGCACTTTTCACCATGTCTTTTTTTCTGACTCTTATTTATTTACAGGCGTTATTTCAAAAGTGAGACATTTATGGTAACAGTTGAGTATGTTTCAGACAGAAGAGGACAGCTTACCCGTGCAGAAACCAGGACCAGGCACACTCCCAGGATAACAGCTATTTCCTTCCACATGATAGGTGATTACCTTATGGTTCCAGAACAGGTGTAGTTCTGACAGTCGGGACTTCGTATATATACGTCACAGAAGGTCATAAAGATAAGGAATTCTGAAGACTGACCCAACCTTATTAGTAGACATCACGGAAATGACGGTGATAACCCGAGGAAAGCAGGGCGGACCTTGTACTGAGCTGACCCATTCCTATTTCCAAAGGCGGACTTTGCACTAAGCTGACTCATTCCAATTTCCAAAGGTGAAGTTTGTACTGAGCTGACCCATTCCTATTTTCAAAGGCGGTCTTTGTACTGAGCTGACACAAGTCTATTTCCAAAGGCGGACCTTAAACTCAGCTGACTCAAGTTTATTTCAAAAGGCAAAGCTTGTACTGAGCTGACCCAAGTCTATTTTCAAAGGCGGACCTTGCGCTGAGCTGACCCAAGCATATTCCCAAAGGCGGACCTGGTACTGAGCTGACCCAAGTCTATTTCCAAAGACAGACCTTATACTGAGTTGACCAAAGTCTATTTCAAAAGACAGACCTTATACTGAGTTGACCAAAGTCTTTTTCAAAAGACAGACCTTATACTGAGTTGACCAAAGTCTATTTCCAAAGACAGACCTTGTACTGAGCTGACCCAAGCATATTCCCAAAGGTGGACCTTGTACTGAGCTGACCCATTCCTATTTCTAAAGGCGGACCTTGTACTGAGCTGACCCGAGCATATTCCCAAAGGCGGACCTTCTACTGAGCTGACCCATGCCTATTTCTCAAGGCGAACCTTGTACTGAGCTGACCCATTCTTATTTCTAAAGGCGGACCTTGAACTGAGGTGACCCAAGCATATTCCCAAAGACAGACCTTATACTGAGCTGACCCAAGTCTATTTCCAAAGACAGACCTTATACTGATCTGACCCAAGTATATTTCCATAGACGGACCTTGTGTTGAGCTGCCCGAAGTATATTTCCAAAGACAGACCTTGTACTGAGTTGACCAAAGTATATTTCAAAAGGCGGACCTTGTACTGAGCTGACCCAAGTCTATTTCTAAAGGCGAAACTTGACTTATCTTGAAATCCCTTACTATTATACCATACCGATAAAAACGCATTGATATTTTTAATATTCAAACCGCAACTTACGAAAACCTATAGAGAGCTATGTCAACTCTTTTAATAACACATGTGTTTGCCTGAAATAAGATAAAACAGACAACTGGATTGGTATTCGGAACCAGAGGCTAGCTAAATCCACCAGGCCAATAGATCCACGTGGATTCGAATTCTTTATTAAGGGGAAATGTTCAAGTGAATTCGCGGTAAAGATCTGTTTCACTATTTCTCTTTTCGATTCCTATGGATTGAGTATCGATAATTAAAGTTAAGAGTGAAATAGAATGGATAGGACAACGACACTGGAACATAAGTAATGATATCCTTAGTACGTTCCAATTAACCCTATATAATTATGATGTTCTATCATATACTTTTTGTGGTAGTGTGAATTACATACATCTTTGTCTGCCACTGAGTACGTTATTTTAAAGAATGCAAGCAAACTCGTTTTCGTTGTCGTATGAAGATATAGAAATCCCAAAGAAAATGACTTATTCTCTTTCAATACCATGACTCCAATTCTGGCAGGCATGTTACGTTGTTCCTCTAACAAAGCCACTACAGGAAAAAGGAATACGTACGTTCATTAAGCGAGATTTTCACCCAGTTCCATGGTCTTTTCTGTTTACAAGAGACAAAACAAACCTTTTAATTCATAGCTGCGGCTTATGTTTAGGCCGATGCGGGATATACGGTGTCACTTAACAGAATAGAAGCGCGAAACAACTAGTATTATAAACATGAAAAACGATGATTAATTCTTAATCAAACTCAAATGAAAAGTGAATAATAAGGTTCAGTATTATGTGGTTAAAACATTGCTTTTTTGTTGTTTGTTTGGAGTTCTCATGCTTGTCCTCATAGTAAGGTTGGCATTTTAAATATCGTTGTATTTGACAGAAAAGTTGAAATCATTGGAAGAAAAAATCCTTTAATTAGGCAATTCAATTGATACACTATTGTCCAAATATATCTATAGAGTTCGATGTCTTGGCCAAGGTCAAGACAGCACATGTCATTATAGAATTGAGATTGGCAAAGTCAGGAAGACTGCAGGTAATAAAAATATCACAGGTACATGTATCTACAAGTAGCTAATCAGTGGCCACCATACGTACAATGGCCGAGGCTCTTTTATATTCGATATATTGTTAGGTTCTCTATCGATGCTCTATTTGATGCCCATGATTCAAAATATAAAAGGTCTAATAATAAAAAGTCCTTTTTTGGCTTCCATAATATATGTTGATGGCTTATTAGACAAACCTTAATTAGAGGAACTTTAATTCTCAATAGTAGATGTAACAGTGACTTATCGTTAACGTTGGAATTAGGCTATATTGAATGTATTTTGACTTCACCAATTTATGTGTATTTTGGGGAAATAGGAAAAGGCAGTTGACCCAAATATTATTCATGTTAGAGCTCACAGCAATGTGATATGTCAAAAGTTCAGTAAAGGTATGTAATGGCATGGGGTTAACCTGCGCTAAGCAAATATAAAATCGTTACTTGCTAATTATATAACCTTGTCAAATGAGTAAAAAACTAACTTAAGATTCACCAGCTGTAAGGAATTAACACCGAGAACCTAACTATCGAGCAGTTATTTTACGTCAAATATTGGAATATTGACAGATAACGTTTTGACTGGATGTATGCATCGTGTGAAACATCGCATTTTATTCGTTGATGATATACCATTCAATGTATGGGGAGGAAGCAAGTAAAAATGTGTGAAGAATATTTTGTCATTTTTCGGGACGGGGGCCTAGCGACTATTACAGGGCCAAAATCAAAGACAATTCTGAAGTTATATATTAGCCCTTAACAATTTTGAAAGGTCTGTTTTGTCAAGTAAATTTATGACAATACCACATTCTTTGACGAAACATTGACTGGCCATGCAGATGCAAATGGAATAGGAGTGGGTGTTGTGTTGTATCAACAGCAAGGTGGTACTGTATAAAGAATAATTATGCATTTTGAATCTTAAATGGAGATAGACCGACTAATTCCACATCCAACAATAATCCTCTGATCTATGTGCTATAAATGAACGAAGGGTTGTTGCATTGTACAATTACCATTTGACATTCCATTGCATTTTCGGGCTTGAAAAAAAGCAAGGCTGGCGCGAATGTTCTTTGTCAGTGGCGAATCCAGAGACCAATTGGAGGCAAGTTGTGTTCCAAATGGAGAAAACACATGCTATCTAAATAGCGTTTTCAGGCTTTGAGGGGTGCTGTAGGTCCTGAGGCTCAGACGTCTATATAAACCTCTAGATTTGCCAATGGATAATTTGATTTAATCAGCAGTATTTAGCGGTTTCTTTGTTATTTTTTGTATTAAAGCAAACAAAAAAGTAAAAATGCAACAAATACCAGATGAACGATTGGTTTGGTTTGGTTTAGTATTGTTTAACGTCCTATCACCAGCTATGGTCATTTAAAGACTGTCTACTCTGTGTGCAAGATGCATGCGTGCAGTGTATGTGTTTTGGGAGTCTGCGATATGTTCGTGTTCGTCTCCTTGTGATAGCGCGGAAATGATACCGACTTTCTAGTGCTACCTCACTGAAACATACTGCCGAAGACACCCAGTAGGACACCCCACCCGGTCACATTATACTGACACCGGGCGAACCAGTCGTCCTGCTCCTAAATTGCTGAGCGTTAAGTAGAAACTACCATTTTAGAGACTCTGGTATGTCTCGGCCAGGGGACAGAACCCAAAGCCTCCCTAACAGGGGCAAACGCTCAACTAAAACCCAAAAGTGAGGCATGTCAAGGAGACATTAGGAGGACGAAAGTTGTTTAGAAAGAAGTGCAAATATAAGATTCCAAATTAAGTCGGCTCTTACGATCATGCAATCTGGCCAACAGGTACAATTCTTACGCCCTACCTGCAGGGACACAAATGAACGAAATACTAAACAACAGCAATATGGAAAATTCTTGAGATTATGGTAGAGCTGTTGGTTGAATCATACCAATATTACCGTTCTCTCAATCCGAACTTGGTAAAATGGGATATTCACAATCCCGAGGCCTGCAGGGGGCAAGTCGAGAGTCCTCCCCGGGATATGCTTGAAATTATATGTCAGGGGCTTCCAACCCGGAGCCAAGTTCCAATTTGGCGCCCCACTTCCAATTTCAGTTTTTACAAAATCAAACATAACACGGTTGTTTGAATCAAGTGTTTATTCAGTGCTGTACACACAAGTAGCTATCGGGTCCTTGGTAAACCATGCCCCTCTTGCTGGCGACAATAGCATCAGGACTTAATAAAGAGGGTCCAGCCGACACAAACTGACAGGACAGCCCTGGGCTACATTCGCAGTGGCCATTCATCTTACCAAACACGCTACAGGTCTCGTTCACAAGCTTGTAGCGCTCACAGTAACCTGACAGCAAAGCAGTTTTTTATAATTAAAACACAACATATACAAAATAAATGATCACAATTTTATATAAAACATGCCCACGGTTGGTCCCTTATTTACTGAACAACATAGGTCTGAGTTTATCATAATGCTGTTCTGTCTGAGCCCTAATGTGCTACAGCCACATAAGTCTTGGTTTCCACTTATTGCCACTGCCGTCACTGTCTGGACTCTGACTATACAACTACATTGGTCTGGGTATTTCCTAATAGTCCTGACTTATACAACAACATGGTACTGTGGCTTTCTTAATTTCAGCCTGTCAAACATCTGACTGTCTCCTGATCTCTTACAAACACAACCACATAAAGGTCTTTGCTTTTCCTGATGACTCCCGCCTGGCTCCTGACATGCAGAATTGCATAGGTCTTGGTCATTCCTAATGACTCCCTGTCTGCTACCTGACTTTCATAACTAGATTAAAAACATCTTACCTTACATTTCTATAACTTAATATCTTCATTAGCAGACTAATGTTTCAGTAACGTAAAAAACCCATATTGTAAA